ATGATTCTTTACCTCTTTTCCCCGGCTGTAGCACATATGACAGCCTCTCTTTCCAGGTGAAAGTGGAGTTGCCAAATCCTGGAGATCATCAGGGTTGATTCTCCCTCTGTTAACTCATATTGTTCTGCATTACTGGCAGTACTTGATATTTACATTTCTCATTTTTCTTCAGGCATTTGGAACACCAATTCGCGAGGAAATGAAATGTATGAACCCAAACTACACTGAATTCAAGTTTCCAAAGATTAAGGCTCATCCCTAGCACAAAGCAATTCCTCTGCTTAAACCTTGTTGGCCTTTTGTTCAAATACCTGTCCTTTCCTTTATCCTAAGTTTAGATGCATGACATTCAGTTTTTCCTAAATTTAAAAGATGAAGTGATCCACACTAAAACGAGTGTGCGCACCGATATTCCAGAAGCGCACGCCCCCTGAGGAAGTCGTTCTTCAAATCCTTATGTGAGGGGCGTGATCATTGACTTCGCAATAAAAAGAAATGAAACTAAGGGTTACTTTTGTATTTTTTTATGGATGATCTGGATCTTTCACTACCTCCAGATGCTCTATTTCTTCTTCTAAGTGTAGTGTGCTGTATCTTTTTCATTTGTGGTGTTTCATTCTCCTTTCCATTTTCAACCGGTGAAAGCTGCAAAGCCAAAGTTCAGGTTCAAATGTGCACACGAGTATATGGAGCCTTGTTCAAGAACAGTTATTCTTCTTTCTTTTCCCCTGAAAGTCGGTTATTTAGCAAGTTAATCAACTTTTCTCATCAACAAGGCCTCTTTGGTGTTCTCTTTCTCCTTTTTATGCTTATCAGATGAAATACTTCTTGTGCACGCCGAAATTTCTGACTTCTGGATGCAAGACATAGATTCATTTCTTTCTTATTGAAAGTGTTTCAAAATGTGATTACACCGAATTACTCGATTGAATCTTCTCTCTTCGAAGTTGCAACGTCCCTTCTATCTAGTATTTGCAGTTAGAGGCCTGTGTCCACCCATTCTTTGGCAAGCTTTGTGATCCTAATGCCCGTCTCCCACCCAAATGGGTGACCATTGCCACCTCCCTTCCACTTCATATCTCAAGGTACGCTACTAAACGTTTTGGTCATGAGTGATTTATAACTGTTCGGACTAGTGTAACAAGTTGCTGCTTTCCGGGTTTTGTGTCAACTGTGCAGAACTGAAAGGGGTAAACCTTTGATCTGCAGACAAAATTTAATACCAGAGCATGCGAGGCAGCAGTCTCCCTTCCCTGGTCTGTAGGCTGCAAACACTCAGGTTGATGATTGTGCTCGCTGATTCTGCCAAAGTCAAATCGAGCTTGTCATGTATATGTGAAATCTACTGTTTTTATTGGTCTTTATTCTTTAAGGGTTGTTGGCTGCAATAGCACTTGGTTTCTTTTCTCATCTTTTTTTTTTTTTTTTGTGGTAAACACTCCATATGTTTATATATCACACAATATCACATGTCGCTTTAGTTTATATGCTTTCTATATACATATGGTCTCCCTTCACCTACCAATCAATTTAAGTTTATGGGTTGGACATCCTAATATTGAATAAGAGTCAGGTTCTATCCCAGCTTATTACGCTTGGCCATGTACTTTCTTTGTCAAATTACATGTATCATTCCGGATCTAGCTTTCATGTGAGAGGAGACTCTGTCCACTAAAATTTTCAAAATTTTAAGATACATCGGGTTCGTGCAAATTTAGTATCACAACCTTTGATTTTGAAGTCTTCCATGAAACCCTTATGATTTAACAACCGTAGCACATGAAGTTCATGTGAATTTGGTGTCCTAATTATAGTTGCACTTGAAATATGAAAGATGTTCAAAGGGGATGTAGGCTGCGTTTGGTTCAGCATTGGGAAGGGGCTTTCAGCCCCGAAAGCCCCTTCCCAAAAATGCTGAACCAAACGGTTGGCATTGAGCATTGAAAATGCTCAAAACTAGCATTTTCAATGCTGAAAGCCCAATGCTGATCGGGACTAGCTTTGGACTTTCAGCCTTGAACCAAATGCCAAAATCATTTTTATACTTCCCAAACTACCTTCACTCAAATTTCAATATTCCGGCTTTGCCCTCTCGTTACTGTTCATCTTCTTCACCAAAGGGACTCGGCGAGGGCGAAGGGCCTCGACGGCGAAGGTCCAATGAGGTCGCCCGACCCAGGCGACGGCCGCCGGGTCGTGATCACCCGTGCGCTGGCCGCTCGGGAGTCTGGGCGATCCGCCCAGTGCGGCCGGTCACATTGGTCCCGCGACTCGGGCACTGGCCGTCGGCTTGGGGTCGCGCGACCCAAAGTGGCCGTCGGCCTAGGGTCGCGCGACCCAGGGCGACGCGTCGCCCGAGGTCGACGCGACCTCGAGCCTCGTCGCCCGAGGGTCGGCGTCCCTCGCCGGGGGTCGCTCGGCGACGGCGACGACGGCCGGCCGCTAGCGCCAGATCTGCTCGCCGGCGGCCGTAGCCCTTCGCCGGGAGCCCGTAGCCCTTCCCCGGAGCCGGCGAAGGGTATTTTTGCCTTTTTTAAAAAACCCCCAAAGCCCATTTGTAAAAAAATTAACCAAACACCACTTGGGTCAAAATAGCTTTCAAATGAGTTTTTACCAAACGCCATTTGCATTTTTCCTAAAGGGCTTCCACCCAAAGGTATTTGCATTCCCAAAGTAGCATTCCAAATGTTGTACCAAACGCACCCGTAACTCTGCAAATACAAACCAAAACAATGGCAATGTACATGAGTGTCTTTTGGCCAAATTGTAACGTTATGAAGTGAGATACATGATCAATGAATGAACTGTGCTACTTAATGAAAGGAAATATTTCGATGACAACCATGGTGATTATACCTTGGGAGTCCAATTGAGTCTTTAAATATCTGCACCATCCTACCATTTGAATGATTGGTGTACCTTACTGTTATGTCTAGCTCTTGAAAAAATTGGAATTGGAAGGTCTATCGTTTGTCATGGGAAGTTCAACTTCCTTTCTGGAAATTCAAACAGCCTCTGGATCAGAATCTCAATGCATGTACTCTAAAAATCTTTACCGATCATACCTTTTCTTCTCTCTCCTTTTCACATCAACAATTTTTAATCAGCTAACTTTCCACCCACCACAGAAGATGACACGATTGACCCCATTGAACTACAAAGTAAAGACCCAACCCGAATACATATGCGATGCGATGAGTGTAGGACCTTTCCAGGGACGCTCCGGGTCCGGGGCCAACGGCTCTGGTCGCCTTTTTTCACCCTTCTGACTTATAAAATAAAAAGTAAGGCTATTGGAAGAAGAATATGTTACAATGTTCCGCAATTATCTTAAGCCCTTCAAAATGAAGAATCCATACATTTTTATAGGATTTCCTAGTATCAAATTTTTGCCAAAGCTTAATAATAATAATAATAATAAGGCCATTCAATATTATTTTCACAAGCGATACAAACAAGGTACAAATACAATGAGATGTAATTAATAAGTCTTGTCTGGGAGTGCCCCTGGTCAAAGCAGGGCTGCATTGATACGTGGAAAGTTGTGCTTCTTTTTTTTTTTAGTGTGTAATAAATTTACAAACTTGTCCCATTGATTTTAATTTGTTCATGTGATAAAGTAGGGGCAATATGGGACACTCACCTAAAGTCACGTCAAAAGGATAGATGGTGCGCAGAGATAAGGACGATAAGGTAGGACATGACAAGACTGTATTTGGTTGCTCGGATATAAGAACTTTATAAATATTGAAATCGAACCAATTTTACATTTTGATGCTTCTCGAACTTAGCCCAATTAAAATTTTCCGATCTTAATATCTCGTGCGACCTAAATTTGATATATGAAAATAAGTGTCAAAATTCACCGCCTTAGATTTCGGCAGAATGATGATTATTGATGAAAAATGGGTGAAGTTTTTTTTGGCCTAAAAATTTAAGTCAAGTTTCGAGAAGCACTCCTCGAAAAGTAACATAAGCTTCAACGCAATAAATACAAGCGCATAAGATGCGTCAGCACGAAAATCTTAAAAACCCTTAAATTTTAAATATGTATGGCTACAAAAGTATGATTTTTAAAATATTAATTATATACATCGCGATAAAAATAAATATATCGCATCCTTTAACTTTTATTATTTGATTATTTTAAAAGTGCTCCGGGGACACTTTTGATTAGATCCGGACCAAGGAGGACGACAATGATAAAAGTGCCCAAATATTTTCAAAGGAAATTAAAGTCCAAAATAAGGAAATAAATGAAAAATAGAAAAGGGTAAAATTATTCTCGCATTTGGTACATTTGGCTTGAAAATGGTGTCGGCTAGCATTTCGCATTAAATAAAAAAAGGAGAGAAAAAGGTAAAATACTATTCACACTCTCGAGACTACAGAATATGTAGTACTCACTCATCTGATGCTCTTTTCCACCATGTTAAGTTATCTTCATCTATCAAATCAAATCAATCTTCGAATTTGAATTTAAGGAAAAACTTTAAATTTTCCCATAAATCCAATCAATATTTACAAATTTTGTGCACCAAATATGAAAATTTCGAGAACATCAGAGATTATGTTTTGCTCATTGGATGAAAAAAACGGATAAACATCGTTAACTATTTAACAAAGCATTACCCGAAAAATAATGTCAATAGTAAATGACAATCCCGAAGGCGAACATGCACGAAATAGAATCGCGATTGGGGAACTTAATAAACGAGCATAATTTTCGAATCGGAAGGAAAAAAAAAAAAAGGCTTCACTGAGAGAAGAGATTTCAACTGTAAATCAAAGGAAAATTTAGATCGGAAAACAAATGGAAATGCGGTTTCCATAAAAGAAAGAAAACGAAAGGAATGCCAAAAAAATTCGAGCGCGCGAGTGCGGTGGCACCCGTCCCGGGAGCGCGCGTGGCGTACTCGCCGGCCCTCTCAAAATCTGATTCCCGCACCAAAAACCGGGGTGGCCTTTTTACTCTCTGTCTATATCTCTCTCTGCGCTCTCCCCATTTCTGCATTCCTTCGCAGCTCCCCTCGCTCTCTCTCTCTCTCTCTCTAGAAATTCTCTCACGGGGCTCTCAGATTCTTCTCTCACCTGAGAGCCCTCGGAATCCGCAGAAAGCGTTACGATTTGCTCGAGGATTCTAGGTTTTCTCTCCCCGTCCGTCCGGCGTAATCCTCTCGCTCCCCGCGCGCGGCGGTGAATCGGAGCTGCATTTCCCCGCGGAAAATCTGGAGGCCGGAGTCGGGCTGCTTCTTCTCCTTCTCCGCTTTCCAGGTACTTCTTCGTCTTGAGGTGAGGAGCTGTGGCGAGCGTCTCCGTCGCTCTTCGTTTTGGTTCGTTCCGGCTTCGATTGTCTTTTCCGTTTTGTTTTTTTTCTTTTCTCGCGATTGTACCCCGCGGTCCGCCGCCCGCCGGAGCTCGGCGGCTTCGCCCGTGTCGCTTCAGTCGGTTGGTTTTTTTTGTTTTCTTCTGCTGCTGAGAAGGGGCTCGGTAGAGTGAGGGAATTGAGGAATTTGCTTGTTCCCGTGCTCTGAAATTGTGCTTGGTCGTGTCGAATTGTCGGAGTGTGGTCTTAATACGTGCGCAGCAAATTGCATTTGAAAGAGAGTTGGATCCGAGAGCGAAGTCCCCGCTTTATGAGTCTCGATGGGGGAGCCGTCCTCCAGAATAGCGAAATCTCCGCGGGGTATTGGGCGCATTAGGAGGCCGGATAGCTTTAGGCGGGGACTGCCTGGGCTAAGTGGCAAGAAAACTCGCAATGGCTCCATAATAAGATTTAAGAGATATTTTTTCGTTTGCATGGCGAGCGCTGCGGTCTAGTTCAGCCTCTGTTCTGCGCTGTTGTGCATCTTCAAGGGAACACAGCTTTCGATGCTATTATTCCTGGTACTGTGCTCGCATTCTTGGTGATGATAGTTGATCGTGTTGGCTCTCGTCTTTGTCTGTGATCATGGCTTGATTAGCATTGATTTCCTCCACATGTTAAAACTGATCATATTGGTGTTCCCGCTTGTGTGTTTACTAGTTTTCTTACTCAGAATGTGGATTTGAGGCTCTATTCTCACATTCATACCTTAATCAGCTTTTGAGGTAGCCGTATTGTTTAATTAACAGCTTCCATTTTTGGGGTAGTCACTTGTCTAAAGGACCCTCAGGTCGGCCAAGCTAGAGAATACAAAGTTATGGTACGTATTGTTTCTAAATGTCTGCTTCACTATTTTTATTTTTCCTGTTTCTGATCTAGCTAAGTCTTTGTCTTGATGGTAAGAAGCAATAAAAAGACATCTCTCTCTGTCGAATCTCATGTTCTTGATTTTTTAATCTTTCTACGAGTTTATGATTTTTTTTTTTCTGTTTTTAATTTGTTTCTTCTAGGGTGGAAATGTAGCTGGTGAAGGGGATGATAATGTTGACTGGAACACTGAAGATGAGCTTGAGGTTGAGAATTATGCGGCATCTTCTTGTTCAAGTTTAACTCCTCCCAGTGGAGATGCTGCTTCAGGCTCTGCAGAGGTAAAATTTTTGGTTGTCTTTGGAATATTTTCTGTTGGTACTGGCTCCGCCATAGTTCAGTATTTGGTTTTTCGATTAAGTTTGTTAGTTGGAGAATTTTGAGTTCAGAAAAGGGATGATTACTGATCATCATTTTTCCACTCAGAAATCTTCTTCCAATATGTATGTATTTTTAGAGACTTCATGGGCTGCTTCTAAATTTGTCTTCTTTTATCCTTTTCCTGGCAAAGTTTCTTGATCTTTTAGCCATTACACATAGTTAACTGCCTTCACTACATTAAAGGGTTCAAGAGAAAGAATATGACACAGATCTGCATCGATGTTTTCTTTCATGAAAAAAGGCACGTCTTTTAATGTCCTTATATTGTGAGCTTTCAATGGAAAATGCTTTCTGTTTTTGTTTCTCCACTATTGACCTCTTGCCTTTCTCAAGGACACATTAGCCTAACTTATTTTATTTTTATTTGAAAGCAAGAGCAGCCACTTGAGAATCTCAGATAAGGTTTTGTCATCTTGGTCTCTGTCTGGCTTTTAAGAGTTCTGTTCTGAGATATCATCTGTGCTTAATACTATACTTAGGGACCTTGTTATTTCATCTAGATGTAATGTGCAAAATGGTCTTTCTTTCATTGCAAATGATGTCGATTTATTCCAGCCCATCTCACTCTCTTATTGTTTGCTTAGTCATACATGTCCAGGAAAAGTATATGGAAACGACTGGCAGAAGTTTAACAGTTTTGACTTTGTAAAACTCATGAAAGATTGTCACACAAAACTTAATGCTTTAATCGTACAAAAAATGAAATAATTTGATCTAAGGTATGTTAGTTTTGTTAAGTGAGCATGATAAAGCGACTAGATAAATTAGTTTCGAAGCAAAATTTTGCAACTTACATAGTATTTATTTCTACAGCATGCCAAATCACTTGTATGGTCGACTATGTTGGTTGTTTACCCTCACTGTCTTGCCTTTTTCCGTTGGCGTTTTGAAGTTGAATTCATGACTATCTTGCGGTGTTTAACTTAATTGCGCATGAGAATGTACGAAACTCACTAAATGTGTTTTCTTTACCTAAACTAAAACCCCTTTATGGTTTTCTTTGGCACCAAGGCGAGCTCGTTGGCAGGTACATCCCATTCCAAGTTGTTTTATCAATTTGTGGGGATGGGCTTTTCAGAGAAATTGGTTGCAAAGGCTATTGACGAAATTGGTGGGTGTCTATGGTTGCCTCTGTTTTAAATTATGTGATTTTCTCTCCTGGGCTGTTTCTGATTATTCTCAAATAATTGCACAGGAGAGGGAAAAACTGATGCAATACTGGAATCTCTCCTGACATATAAGGTGAGAAGAGAGGTTCCTATATTTCTTGCTGCCCTAGAACTAAATGCATATTTTATGGGTGCGTTTATCCATACTTTCAGCTTGCTTCCTGTCCCCACTTATTATTTTCATAGGAAATTGAAGTCCTAATATGAGAGATAGCTTACCTAGAGTATGATTTATCTAAAAAAAAGTTTCAAATTGTTTATGGTCACTAAATGTTTAGCTTAATTTATTGATTGGCCAAAAATTTTGAAGTTATTGTGAATTTGTGACCGTGAGATTCTGTGTACTTGACTCACATCTTTATAATGTGACTCTAAGATTTTGTTTGGTTTGTGGGAAAACAAGTTCATGTAGCTTACAGGATTGCACCGAGTCTTTGCCTAAAGCTAGCTTTAATTCTGTGTCTGCTTCTGGACATTTCACTAGATAATGTTGTATTCCTTCTCCTGTTCGAATATAGTTAAGTCTGGAAATGGCTGTCCATAGATATTCATTTCATTGATGAATATGTTCTAAGCACAGTCATGATTCTTAACATTATTTTGCAAAATCTGCAGTGCTTCTATAGCACTTATTGTTGCCTATGAGTGTCTGGATGAATCTCTATTTAGGAATTCCTTTATATGCGAAGGGAGAGGAGGACAAAGTTATTATCTATCCGTGCCCAAGAAAATCACTGTACAATCAATCTCTTTCATGAGGATGATGATGATGTCGAAGCAGCGAATTCTTCCGGCATGATGTTTCTATATTGCTGAATCTGTTTGATTGACATTAATGAAAGCTCTGACCGTGTCCAAGCTAGATTGACACTTAGAGCTTTATGTGGTAAAAAACAGACCTTTTGATGTTCAGAGCTTGATGCGTTGTCATGGGGATCTGCTTCCCTTCTTTACAAGTTTTGTTCTTTTGACAAATCTGAAAGTTTATTTTCTTAATGTTGGTCCAACTGCCAAAAACAGACATGCAGAAACCATGCAGATGATTGGCTGAGAATTTACGGATATCTTGATTATTTTAAATAATCACTCCTACTTGCGTTTTATACATCGGTTTGTCCTTGAGTGTGGCATGATAAATTGATATGATAGTATTTAGGTGCCTTGTGCTAGTTGACCATCTGTCTTTTCATTGTTTCTTTCGGTTGTACTGCAGGTTCTAGAAAACTCTCCTCAAGAGCAAGATATTGATGAATCTGCTGTTGTCAAAGAGGAAGTTGTGGATTCTGATCACTTCTCGTCTGACTATGAAGGTAGCTTTTTGGACGATTCTTCGGATGATGATAGTTATTCTGGAAGCGAGGTTGGTTTTTTCATTTCTACTTTTTTTTTTAAAGCTATCTGTACTGTATTTCTCGGGGATGTTTCTTTTCTTCACTTTTCCATATCATCAGATATGCCATCTATTCTTGATGTTGCATATGCTTATAATTGGTTGATTTAGCAAGTGTGCTTTGTGTGACTGGATTTTGTTGACTGCAGGAAGTGAGTGCCCAGGAGAAAAAGGTTTAGAATCACAACATTTATTTTAGTTCCAATAGTTTAGGGACAGGACCTATCTATTTTAGTCTTAAAACTATTAGAAGTTAAGATCTGTTGACCCTACACTATGCATTATATGGTGTCTATCTATAACTATTGTTCTAAGTTGTGCCGCGTAATTTATAAGCAAAGATAGTCGGGCTTTTTGTCCATGTATGCACCAAACTAACAATTTATCATCATGGTGCTGTTGTTCGTCAGAGGATCGGTCACTCAACTTTCGCCTACTGTTGATCAACTGTACTTTCAACACGCTAAATTGAGTCATGTTCCTGAAATGGTTTAAATCGGATGACTTTTTCATTGCTAACGGCAAGGAGAATCACGTGGAATCTAAAAATAGGCTATGAGTGCTTAATCCACATGCCATTTTGCGTCCAGCTACACCATTCTGCCAGATCTTCTAACAGACTTTTGACAGGGTGGCATAATTAAAATCACTTCAGAGATAAGTGACTTGATTCAAATCTGTGATAGTATAGTGATGTACGGTATCCTAAAGTTGATTAATCGTGTTTAACTTATCCTGTTTATTCATTTCACTTTTAGAGTTGTGTAAAATCATATGTACCACATGTATTATTAAATTATTGATTGCACATTCCTGGAAATGGATATGGTCAATAATAAGGCTCATAATAACCTGTTGGTTTATTGGAAGGTGGCTCTCGTTTGTCACCTGTTGTAACGTCATGCTATTATTAATTAACATAAGCTTTGAACCAGTTCCCAGTTTTGCCTTATTACAATTAACCTAAAAATTGATGATTCTTCTTCTGGAAGTGTTTGTTTGTATGTGGAATGCTGCTGTAACTGTGATTTTGCCGAAGCAGTTAATATAATTCATAGTTACTGGTGGATGGGCACGAATGTTGAGCATTGTCAATTATATGGGTCTTGCAGGAAGTCATCAATCCTTCGTCTGAAGATAAGAAATTGTTATTCTTGACGGATATGGGGTATACAGTGGAAGAAGCTTCCATTGCCATAGAAAGATGTGGTCTGTATTCTATTCTTCTGCTTTTGTAAGATTTTGACATCTTCTTGTCACATGCAAAGGAAAAGAAAAGTATATTTCTAGTGGATTTGGGGGGATTTTATTACGAGATTGAGAGGTTTGGATTCCTAATGACAAATCTTAAATGTGAGCTTTTCTAATATTCTGCTCAGTGCATTGGTGCAGCTTAAACATAAACTTACTCTCTTATAATGTAAAGAAATGATGAGTTTGGACTTTTTGTTTTACTTTCCTTACATTTCAACTTGAGAGGGAAGTTCTCCTGAGGTTCAGTTTTTCCTTGCTTTCACTTCTGTTCCTTATTTACTCCATCTATAACAAGTTGTAATTTTTCTGCACTAGAAGAGTTTTAATTCATTAATAATTTTAAATAAAAGCAGTACTCATTGGATTTGTTCACTCTCTTTCCTCCTTTGCCTAACAGGACAATTTACAAAATATTTCTCTAGAATGGCATCAAAAGATTTTCACTTCATTTTTTTGTGATACTAGCTCGTCCTGTATGTGTCTTCAATTGGTGTTTTAAGTGTCTTCAGCTGAATCATCACAATCCCTGGTAGATTGAGAAGATGACTTATTTCTTCCTCTCGATGTTGTAGGTCCTGATGCCTCAGTAGACGAGCTGGCAGATTTCATATGTGCTGCTCAGATGTCAAAGGCAGCAGATGCACTTCTAGGACCTGAAGAGAAGGTAATTTACCCTATTTAATTATGTCCGTGCTCATTTTGGTTCTTATGGATGTATATTGAAGTGGTGTTTCTTTTCATGGTCCTTTGCAGCCTAGACTGCTCAATGACTTTAGAAAGCACAAGAAGAGGAAACTTTCCAATTGTGATGCTTGGAGCAAGAAAAGAAGAGGGGAGAAAAAGCTCTTGCATGGAGATGAGGAGCCAATTCGCCTCCCAAATCCCATGATTGGGTTTGGGGTACCCACAGAGTCGAGTGCGATAGTTCACCGAACACTTCCAGAGGCAGCTATCGGACCTCCCTACTTTTACTATGAAAACGTAGCGCTTGCTCCCAAGGGAGCTTGGGACACCATTTCTCGGTTCTTATATGATGTTGAACCGGAATTTGTAGACTCCAAGTACTTCTGTGCTACTGCAAGAAAGAGGGGCTATGTCCATAACCTACCTATCAATAACAGGTTTCCTCTTCTTCCACTCCCTCCGCGCACGATTCATGAAGCATTGCCGTTGACGAGGAAGTGGTGGCCTTCATGGGACACGAGGACAAAGCTGAATTGCTTACAAACATGCATTGGCAGTGCAAAGCTTACAGATAGGATCCGAAAGGCCCTTGAACATCATGATGGTGAGTCAGAACCTCCTCTGAGGATCCAAAAATATGTTCTTGATGAATGCCGCAAGTGGAACCTTGTCTGGGTGGGAAGGAACAAGCTGGCTCCGTTGGAGCCTGATGAGGTGGAAATGCTTTTAGGTTTCCCGAAAAATCACACCAGAGGAGGTGGGATAAGCAGAACCGATAGATACAAATCGCTCGGCAATTCCTTCCAGGTAGGTATTTGGCTGACTTCTATTTGCTTGGAACCAAGAATAACTCAGCTGCATCATACATTGCAAAGTTATTCCATACTGATCCAGGGCATGAATTCTTATTGAGGCATATTCTGGCATACTTTCAGGTTGATACTGTGGCTTACCATCTCTCCGTTCTGAAGGACTTGTTCCCTGCTGGAATCAACCTCCTCTCTCTCTTCTCTGGAATTGGCGGGGCGGAAGTTGCTCTTCATCGGCTTGGGATCCCGCTAAAAAATGTGGTCTCCGTGGAAATATCTGAAGTCAATAGAAATATTGTGAGGAGTTGGTGGGAGCAAACAAACCAGAAGGGCAATTTGATCGACATTGCTGATGTGCAACAGTTGAATGGGGATAGGCTGGAGCAGCTCATGAACTCTTTTGGCGGGTTCGATCTCATTGTTGGCGGAAGCCCATGCAACAATCTCGCAGGCAGTAACAGGCATAGTAGGGATGGACTGGAAGGCAAGGAGTCCTCGCTCTTCTATGATTATTTTCGGATTTTGGATCTGGTCAAGTGTATCATGTCCAAAGGCCACTGATTGATGTAAAGCACCTGACTGAACAGTTAACCAATTGATAGGCGGGTTTTAGTTCTTATCTGGCTCAGAATTGAATTGCTGAAGGGGAGCGCAAACATCTCTAATTGTTCATGTTTCTGATTCAATTCTCCTCTTCAATCCAATAAATCTCCTTGCAATTCTCATGGTGAGTTTAGTCTGCGCCAACTGCAGCAAAAATCTGGAATGTGTCCAAATTATTCCAGCATCCGAAGTCGAATTGCTATGGATGATTGATCTGTACTTGGAATGTCCTCTCTTTGCATATAATTTCTCTTTCGTTCCGGGCAACGATAGCCTGACTTGCGTATGGTCTGTGGTATGTGCTGCCTTATTATGCACTTTTTGTGTGGGAATACTAATGCTTATGTCCGTGTAGTTATCAGCATATCTTATAGGAAAGGGGTATGTTCACCAAAAGTCCTAAAACTTGTCACCAAAGTGCAATTGAATCCTAAAACTTACAAAAGGTGCAATTGAGTTCTAAAATTTGTCAAATTAGTTCAATTGAGTCCTAAAGTTAACGCCGTTCAATTTGACTAACGGAAAACATTGACGTGACTTTTTTATTATTTTTTATATTCCACGTGGCAATGACATGGTTTTTTTTAAATCATTATTTTAATATTAATTTTATTTAAATTAAATTTAAAAATAAGCTAAAATTTAAAAAAAAAAATTAAAAAAAGGGAGGAGGGGGACAGTCGGGGAGGGAGGGCTTGCCCTCCCCGCCGCTGCCCCACCTTTGTTGGGAGGGGCCGGCGAGGGTGGGGGGACGGTAGGCGGGGGTTGCCGGGCCCCAGCCAAGGGCCAGTGACCCTCGTCGATGGCAGGTGAGGGCCTGCGGGCCCTCCCCCAGATTGGGCGAGGGTCGCCAGTGGCGGCCGACCCCCGCCAATGGCGGGGAGGGCCACCTCTGGCCGGGGTCGGCTGCCACCGGCGACCCTCAGCTAGGTCTAGGTGAGGGCTGCAACCCCCGCCTGCAGTCCACCCACCCTCGCCGGCCCTCTCAGCGATGGTGGGACGGCGGCGGCGGCGGCGGCGGCGGGGAGGGCGAGCCCTCCCTCCCTGTCTGTCCTCTTCCTCCTCCCTTTTTTTAATCTTTTTTTAAAATTTAATTTAAATAAAAATAGTATTAAAAATCAAATTTTGGCCAAAATGACGTCGTTTTAGTCACGTCATCGCCACATAGGAGAGAGAAAATATTAAAATAAGCCACGTCAGCATTTTTCATTAGTAAGTTTGACGGTGTTAACTTTAGGACTTATTTGAATCAATTTGACAAGTTGTAGGACTTGATTGTGTTTTTTACAAGTTTTAGGACTTAATTGCACTTTTGTGACAAGTTTTAGAACTTCTAATGAACATATCCCTGTAGGAAATTATGACAACAGTGCCGACACGGGAGGTTAATCGAGTTGGATTGGCACTTTCGTCATAGTTGATAACCCTCAAGTCGAGAAAGATTGTCAATGACATATGTACTCGAATTGAAAATGCTTAATCGAGTTGGATTGGCACGTTCGTCATAGTTGATGATCCTCGAGTCGAGAAAGATTGTCAATGACATATGTACTCGAATTGAAAAATGCGACGGGACCTAATGTGACTGTTCATTGAATTCAAAGGATCAGAGACTGAAATCTTAAAGATAATGTGCATCTGACTGGTTGGGAGAGGAGCAATAAAGGATGAGACTATTCTGACTTCTTATGTGAATTTGTTAATGAATCACCTAATGATTTTCTTCATTAGGATTGCCATTTGTTGTCAAATTCATTGAACCTCTTCTTTTTCCCTCAACATGGTACATCACGCCTCATGAGACCTTTAACTTTGGCTTCATCCTCTTGGCATTTGAGTACAAGAAGACTCCAGCGAGGGCCAACGCGGTTCCTGCATCCACAAGTCGGTCGCCACGGATTATTCCACGGGGTTGAATAAGAAGAGATCATCGTAAGTGATCTGATCATGACCAAAAGCTAAACAATATAAAAAGGGTCGATGAATTTGCTGATTCGAAGATTTCACCAGGGGAGTTGACGGGTGAAATGGCGGTTTGGAAGAAGATGACCGAAGAGACTATGACCACCACGCGCTTCACACAGTTTCCGACGGAGTGAGTGACCGGCGATACCATCTGTAGTATCCCATAAGAGACCTGCCAAATAGCGAGAATATGGAGACGACTTGTCATATTCCGACGGAGTGAGTGGCGGACGTAATTAACCTTGCGGTGAACCTCATACAAGATCAGAGGTATATTTTAGCTTTGTCTTTAGATATATACATGGAAATGAATGTCATAGTTAGGCTTTGGTTGGACATTTATAAATCATGATCTAGCATTTCTCACAAGAACTGCTATCACTCAGACTTTCTCAGTCAACACTTCTGTTCTGAGGTTTTGGACCCTCGAGACCAGCGCCGCCCGATCAGGTGTGCGGTGGCTAACACTGAAGAAAAGCGCATGACAGAGGATGAAGAGAAAAGCCTGAGGCTCACCTGCTGATAGCTGTGGAAGCAGAATCCAGCCAAAAGAGATCTCACACACAGCTCTTTAATGTTCAAACCTCGACTCGCCTGACACGAAAACGGTAAACTACTTAGTCCAAGGTGCTTTCTCTGTGTACTTCAGTCGGGTTAGCTTCAGTTCTCTGAAATGTCACTTACTGCAGACTGCAGGTATGATGGAGTAAACTTAAAACCCTCCAGGAAAATAGCCGTGGGAGCCAGGAACATGAAAGACATTATTGTCATTACCGAGAAGAGGTTGATATTGTCCAATGCTTCCTGAAAGAAGTAATGGTTAGCCCCTGTATCCATTGCACAATCAAAAGTTAAAATTGACTAGAAAAGCGGCACATCATGAACCACGCATCTAGCTCTGATACAGTTCATAATGACAGCCCAATTAAGGGGCGCAAGCCCCCTAAGGAACTAATCAAATGGCAATAATCACTTCATCATCCTATGCGCGATTGGGGGTTACAGAAGCTATGATGATAGTTGATGCTCATATTAGCTATAAATGGACGTTACCTCTTTGTTAACCATGAACTTCTTGCTAAATACGTTACGCGATTGGTTCGTCAAATTGGAAGCCATTGCGCTGCCAAAACCAATCCTGTTTCAAATGTAAGTAGGGAGATCATCTGTCGGAATTAGAACAACTAAAGCTGGCTCAACTTTAACTCCATTTAACATTGATACATGAAAGGTGAACTTAACATTGTCCACATATTGGTGTAACATCAGCTGCAGCTTTCAGTTTTGACACCGATTGCGATCAAAAGCTTCACAGAGATACATCAAGAATTTCTGAACATGATGTTGAAACTAGAATTGCAGAAGAAGAGCTTACCAGTTAAATGAAGCCTCGGAGAGAGATGCGAGTGCCACTCCACCTACAATCGGCACAAGGGAGGAAACAACCCAGAATGATGGCATCTGGGGGCAATATTAGCCCAAATTGAAGTCAAGCTACATATCAGTGAATTTCATCGTACAGTACATATATAGTGCTCCACATTGCTCTTTCAGAAGTCGTGAAACTCAACATAGGAAGGATAGAGAACTTGCGAGAACTTCAGGACGAGAATACAACAAATGTTTCTACGTCAAGCATCACATTCTCTTTCGCAAGAGTCGTACGCATGAATTTGTATATCCTTATGTTTGAGGGACCGTGAATGGGGTCGTTTCGTCCCAGTTTCAATGGGTCCTGAAATTGTAAAATCCGATCACAACTAGGATCGATCCCATGCTCGGTTGATATCCTAGTTTTGTTTTCTCCCTAAGTGCACAGACACAGCATGCTCATAACGGAAAAGGACAGGCTCCAGGAATTAGAAACCAAGGGTGTGATGAAGTATCTATTATCCGGCATGTAAAAGACCGATTTATCGACTATCGGTGCCGAAGCATATATCGATAGTTCCTCCAAGGTAAGCAGGAAAAATCCACAAGCTAAGAAAGGGGGCCTAACAAATAATGTTCCGAAAGCGAACAGCCAAATTGGAAAACTTTATGTGCTAATCCGCTGTGTATCAGCTAAGTGACCAAATGAAATAAGTTATACCTCCCCAAGGAACAGAGAGGCAAGAACAAACTGTGAAGAGGGGCTCCATAGCTTTGATGGTATGAGTGAACGAAACAGCTACTCTCCCAAGACTTATGTTGGTCAGGAGGTTCCCCATGGTGTGTGCCACAGCCAGTGGTAGAATTGTTGCAAGCTGCAAGTTTTATGAACGTTCTTTGGTCAAGTGAAAATCGTCGACTAACAACATCATCAGATAAAAGGAAAAATGCTAGTCTTGCCTCTTTCTTTTGTACTCTATTCTGAATCATGACACAGCCCTCACCTGAGATCGAGTGAGCTTAGGGAATGGATGGAGTCTAGATGCCCACATCAGGAGAATGATCACAGTCCCACACCCAAACTGAAATGCTGTGACTGTTGCTGGGAAAGGGTATACCTTCAGAACCTGTGCAGTTCCCAAACACAAGGAAATTGTCAGCAGAAACTGGAAACCTGCATTTAAAATGAAGTCTAAAGGTCCGTTTGCTCGAAGGAAAATTGTTTATGGGAAATTGTATTTTGACTTTCCGGTGTTTGGATGACGGTGTTTCGACTTTCCGGTGGCTAGCACGTGTCGCCCCCAGGGTTTACCTCCCGGCTGTCGGCCGTGCGGGGGTTCCCTGGGTTACCAAAAAAAAAAAAAAACTAATCAATGTACAGAAAACGTTTTCATGAGAAAGGGAAGTCGTTTTTTTCCCCTTCAATCTAAGCTTGCTGTTTTCAATGATTGAAAACAGCAAGCTTAGATTGAAGGGGAAACAAAACGACTTCCCTTTCTCATAAAAAGGAAATCACTTTCCCTAAACCACCAAACAAACGAAAACTAATCATTTTTCTATAGAAAATATTTTATTCTGTCATATAGCTTTCTGTGAAACAAACGCATCCTAAACTTTCTCTGGAAAACCGTTTGCATTATATGGTATGCATGCATCTACTTGTGAAAGAATTTTCAGTGCATTGATTGAGGCTGGATTTCGCTTCAAAATCCCATATCACTATATCAATCGTTGTCTTCTATGATATCCGATGTTTATTGAGAATTGAATTCTACCTTTCTATA